TACCTGAATAGATAAGATAAGAAAAAAAAAAAGGTTTTACTTGAAATATATTATAAAATATACAATAAATCTATGTTTTAGTTTGATTAATTTTATTTTTATTGATTAGAAATGATGGAAATGAAGTTGGTACTAGTGTTTATCATCGTATAAATGATCAACTTGAAACAGGTGTGCAATTAGCATGGACAGCAGGTACAAATCAAACACGATTTGCACTTGCATCAAAATATCAACTTGATTCTCAAACTGCAATTGGTGCTAAGGTGAATAATATTTGTCAAGTTGGTCTTTCATTTCAACAACTTCTTCGTCCAGGTATATATTTAATTTCTTGTTTTTCAATAGATAATAATAATTTTTATTGATAAAATTATTATTTAGGCTTTAAATTAATTTTATCGGCTTTATTTGAAGCACGAAATTTGAATGCTGGTGGACATAAAGTTGGTTTGGGACTTGAACTTGAAAGTTAAACAAATCTATCATTATCATAGAAATTTTCCATACAATGAGACTAATTTTCTTGATTCCTTTAGTCAACATAATTTGTAGGACATAATCAAGGTTTTGTTTTTTTGTAGAAATATTTTCTACTAATATAATGAGAAAATAACTATCCGCTTTCTTTTATCTTTGTTTTTTTGCTGTTTGATTCCATGTTTTCTTCTTTTTTTTGTCTCATTCATTTTCGAAAAATAATACCAATACCTTGACATACAAAAAGAACAAAAGTGCATTGTAAATCAGATAAATAAAATATTCGACAGAAAAATATCAATAAGAACATGCAGTAATGATTACCTCTGGATTGATCTTTGATGCTATGAAAAACTAATGATATTTACATGGTGAACATTACCATAGGTTCTTAAGAGGATCCTCCTCTCAAAGCAAATATCTAACTTATAACGGTTTCCTTGGATTGAAATTTTCAAGAATGAATGAATTCAGGTCGATACGTGAAACTAAAGCGAACTTTCAGTTTTTTTATAGGCCTCAGAAGGATGCCTATAGCTTCATGACTGTAAGAAGTACAGAGTTCGATGTGATTTCAATTTAAAGCTAATAACCTATGGGTAGATTTTTTCCGGGCAGAAGTTTGAAATTCGCTTTCATTCGTATTTTATGATCATTTTTAGTGTATATGGTGTAAAAATAAACAAAAACAATGTCAATTGACATCACAGCAATCAACTGTAAAAAGCCTGATGAAACAAAAGTTTACTCTCATTTCGATCTTAAAAATATTGATTATATCTTGAATCAGATGTAAGGAATTTCTATACTTCTGATTGAAAAAAATGTTCTGAGAAAAAACGATAAAGAAGTTTTGATATGATTTTTTTCCTATTCAAACGCAGAAACAAAAGAATATGTCATAATATATTCGAATAGAATTTTTACGATCATGTAACAAATGATGTAAGTTGGCATCATCTGTTGTCCTTAAATTATATAAGAATGTTTATTTAATGCTGATGCAAATAAAAAGGTAATCTTTTTGATACTAAAACACTACAAAAATCTTCGGAAAATAACGCTAGTGTGAGATCGACATTTATTTTTGCCGAAAGTCTCTTAAAATTTTTAAAAGACTTTTGAAGAAAAATTAACGAAATCTAAAAACACACTTTTATTAATATACAACTTCTATTCATATAAAAAAAATGACACAAAAATATGAATATTTGAGAAATTATGCATGTTACTCACGATTAGGGGGTAAGAGTAGATGTTCACTTCAGTCAAAATATTTTCGCTAGTTTTTGGAAACGCTTAGGCTACATGCACTAGAATGAATTATAATTGTTATTGATAGATCAAGTAAAATACTAAGAATTTAAGTTTTTAAATTTTTTCATCTAATAATTTTTGTTTTCTTTTGGACATAGTATTGACAAGACCACAGCTATGAAGAAAAGAACAGTTAAAAAAGTAAAATATAATTCTACGTTATTTTTACGCTTAAGAAGCCAAGATCGATCTTCACAGAATGTGCTCAATAGAAAATCTCAGATTTTGTTCAATTTAACCTATAAAACAGAGGCAAGTGTTATAGAATTTATTTATTTATGATATTAAATATATCAAAAAAAATCAGTAAATGACAAGAATAGTTTAATAATAATAAAGAATATATTGTTGAAAATACTAAATTAATTATTAATGATTCTATTAATCATACTGTTAGAATAGGTATTGAAACTAACGGGTGGCCCAGAATAAATGAGGGTCTCAGTATTTTGACTATAACTTTTTTCTTTTTGATCTTTAGAAGTGATTATTTACCAAAAGATGCGCCGTGAAATTCTCTACAAAACCATAACTAAACTTATTTCCGTAGAAAATAAAGGAAAAAAGCTAAATGAATACTATTCAAAACATAAAATGTGCCCAACTTTCAAAGCTAGCGGATGTTCTACGAATGACTAGTGTTCGTATCTCTTTTTTTATCCTCCTCTAGTAGATATATTTTTAAAAGCAAAGCATACTATAAGATGCAGCGTGAAAAGCTCTACAAGTTACATTAAAAACCTTATTTTATATATGCACTTTTTGTTTTCAAAATAATACAAATTCTGTAAGACCAGTTTTCGACTCTGCGAACAAGAGCAGTTTTTTGGTACAATACGAATTCGTTTTTCTTATTTCAACTTTGTATCAGCTAATATGTTCTATTCAAAGAAAACTAAATATACCACAAGATCCAGTGTGAAAAGCTCTACAACTTACAGAGAACAAGTCATTTTATATACATGCATCTTTTGTTTTTAAAATATGCAAAATTCTGTGCGACCAAAAAATGGTCTTTTTTGCAGAGTCGAAAACTGATCGCACATAATTCTGATCATTTAGAAAATAATAAGTGCATGCATAAAATAAAGTTCTTAATGTAGCTTGTAGAACTTTTCACGCTGCACCTTATAGTGTACTTTGTTTTTAAAATGTACCCTACTTCA